ACTAATCTTAAATCAGATCCCTCTTTAACGGCTTGAAGACGTTTGGCATATTCTAGGGTTTCCCTCAGTACACTTGTCAAACTAAGTGAACACTATGAAGCTACCAGAACCTATACTTTTGGATCGCAGCATGACTAGGGAAATTTCTATTCATCCAGAAATCCCTGCTGACTCAATATATCTCATCTCTTTAATTTGTCCCTTTCTATATATATATATTATATGCTGTTTTCATCTATGCATATATTGGTAAGAAAGAAAATGTACAACGCAGTTCGATCAATTAGGATACTACCACCAACGGCATCTATTTTCTCTTCAAAGTTGCCAAATAACATCAGCAGGAGAATTTGCGGAGTCAGATTTGCACAAGCCATGTCAGGGCCTAATCAACCTCAGAGCACTAAGAAAATAGATCAGTCTCAGGAATCAAAAAATCAAAGAGGGTTGGTTTTCAAATCTTGTTTTCTTTTTGTTTTCGTGTCATGAAATGATGGGCTTTTGTTAATCTTGGTGTTATAGATAGATAGATAGATATTTCACGTTCGAGGACGAAAAAATTAGCTAGGGTTGTGGAGGAATTTTTTAAGATAAAAAGTTTTAATCCTTCCAATTGAAATTTCTTGTAGTGTGTATAAATATGTACCAGTTATTGAGTTTAACATGGTTTCGGAATTTGGGAAACGATTGCTTCATTTGGTGAAGGATATGCAACGAGGTCTTATGAAGAAGGATTTGGAGGAATCTATGGAGGGAACCAGTCTATTTCCAAGGAGGACGAGGAGAAAATTGTTCATGGAAATGCCCCGGGTACATTCTCTTTCTTTCTTCAATCACCGACCTCCACGCCTCTAAACATGCCTTATCAGATCCATAGTGCCCGGCTAAAATCTAAGTTCTAAATAATTAATTTTAACTACATTTTATGTCCAACCGCATGTTGGAATATACTAAATATCTTATTTAAATTCCTGGGCTATACTTATAAATCGGTTTGACACTTCAAAAAAGTTGCCTAAATTTTTTTAATTTGAAATTGAGAAAACTTTAGGAAAAAAAATTTAATCATTATATTTGGAAAAAACTTTAGCCACTATAATTGCAACACAAGCCCATCCATATTTTTGCCATCACTGGTTTTTGTTCTCGTTTCGTTTTTACTTGTTTTTCACATGGTTAGCCATTTCCATCACTTCCAAAATTACTCATCATTGTTAATTTGAACAACATTCAACAACTATTTAACAAAACCTACCAAACAAGCCTTGCTCGATTAATCCCATTAAAAGCGATTTTGTGGCATTGTTTAAAAAGAAAAAAAAAAATGCGGCCGTGGCTTGTGGTTTATTATTGAAGATGAAAGATCATTTGGTGAAATATAAAACCAATTTGAGATTGAGTGGGTTCGTTAGGTGTTGCTGTTTACATAGAAAAGATGCAAATTAAGGTTAATTAGGGGGTAAAAGTAATTTATTTTGTATAAATGGTTTCTTATAAGAAATATAGTTATTAAAATCAGTCTAGCTCAATCGGGTAGATCAAAAAATCATTAAATCAAGTGCAGTGACAACCCAATTTTCATATTTTGATGGGGGAAATTAGGTCAACTATCCTTAAAAAGTAAAACTTTAGATTAATACTGTTAAAATTGATTAGAACTATAAGTTCCTGAAATTATTACGTCCAAATTGATTTTATCACTTTCTGAAAATTTGCCACTTTTTGAGCTTTTTTTAGTTTTTGTAACTTTTTTGAATAATCACCTTTTTTTAATCTCTTATCGCCTTCTGAAAATTTTATCACTTGGAGTTGCAGCGGGAGACCATCTTCCAGACTCGATGCCATGTCAACAATAAGGTATTTAGTGTAATTATTGATGGTGGTAGTTGCACAAACGTTGCTAGCGTAGCACTTGTAAAGAAGTTAAATTTAACATTGTTGAAACATCCTAGGCCATATAAATTGCAATGGTTAAATAAAAGTGGAGAAGATAGTGTTAATCAATCTTTCAATTGGTAGTTAACGGGACGAAGTAACGTGTGATGTGGTACCAATGCAAGTGGGGCATATTTTATTGAGGAGACCATGGCAATATGATAGGAAGGCTATGCATGATGAGTACAAAAATCGCTATAGTTTCATCAAGGATGGGAGGTATATTACTTTTGTGCCATTAACACCGGGGCAAGTCCATGAGGATCAAATTAAATTTAGGAATGAGGAAGAGAGGAGAGTAAGTGAGTTAGAAAAAAAGAGAGACATGTATTACGGAGAGAAATAGAGAGAAGATAGTGAAAATGAAAATAATGAGATTGTGAGCAAGAGAGGAAATTGTGAGGTGGCCATTAGAGAAAAAAGAAAGAGGAGCCACAAGAGATGAAAGAAAGAGAGTTTTCCAAGAGAAAGGAAAAATCACGAGTGAATTTCTTTTTAAAAGGGAGTGCGTTGAGGAGGGCAATAATTAAGAGGAGAGAGATGTTTTTATTGTTGTACAAGAAAACACTCCTCAATTTTGAGACTACTAACATCCCCTCCCTAGTTTGGCTAAAACTGTACTGCAGGAATTCCAAGATGTATTCTCGGAGGATGTACCGAGTGGATTACCACCCATTCGAGGAGTTGAACATCAAATTGACTTTATACCTAAAGTTGTCATCCCGAACCAATCAACTTATCGGAGCAATCCTGAGGAGACAAAGAAGCTTCATAGGCAAGTAGAGGAGTTGATAAGCAAATGTTATGTAAGGGAAAGCATGAGACCATGTCCCATTCCAGTGTTACTAGTGCCAAAGAATGATGGGACATGGCGAATGTGCGTTGATTGCAAAGCAATCAACAATATAACGGTAAAGTATCATCACCCAATTCCTAGGTTAGATGATATGTTAGATGAATTGCATATTGCTTGTATTTTTAGTAAAATTGACCTTAAAAGTGGGTACCATCAAATATGCATGAGGAACGGTGATGAGTAGAAAAAGACATTTAAAACTAAACATGATTTATATGAATGGTTAGTTATGCCTTTTGGACTCACAAACACACCGAGCACTTTTATGCGCTTAATGAACCATGTTTTACGTGCTTTCAATTTACTGAAGTAGTACGTTTGTATAGGATTCCTTAGAGTATAGTGTCGATTAGAGACGTGAAACTTTTAAATCACTTTTGGCGAGTATTGTGGGATAAGTTAGGCACGAAATTGTTATTTTCCACAATTTATCACCCTCAAACCGATGGACAAACCGAAGTCGTTAGTAAGACTATGATTCAATTGCTGCATACGGTAATGAACAAGAACTTGAAAAGTTGGGAAGACTGTTTACCTTTCATTGAATTTGCATACAATTGAGCTACTCATTCTACTACTTCATTTACTCCTTTTGAAATTGTTTATGGTTTTAATTCACTAACACCGTTAGATTTAATTCCATTACATGTGAATGAACGTGGTAGTTTAGATGGCAAAAGAAAGCTGAATTGGTGAAATCGCTTCATGAGAAGGTAAAGTTGCAGATCGAAAAAAAAAGCAAGCTTGTTGAGTTGCAGGCAAAATAGACAGAAAACATGTGAAATTCGAACCAGTAGATTGGGTTTGGGAACATTTCAGGAAAGAGCATTTTTCGGAGCAAAGTAATTCGAAATTGCAGTCGCGAGGAGATGGTCCATTTTAAGTCATCGAGAAGATCAACGAAAACGCTTACATAATAGATCTTCTAGGTGAGTATAATGTTTCAACAACTTTTAATGTATCTGATCTCTCTCTTTCTTTGATGTAGGTTTAGATTTGAGGATGAATCTTTTTGAAGAGAAAGGGGATGATGTAATCCAAGAGTTGAGTCCAACGAAGGCGAGTTTGGAACAAGACCCGTTAATAATTGAAGGGAGATCGATGAAGTCATCGAGGGCAAAGCGAGTGAAACAAGCGATGGGATAACTTGTTCAATCAACCATTCATGGGACGATGGTCGAAACGCAAAATGAGGCAACTTTCATGTTTGGGTCGAGAGTGGAATCAAAATAGATCAACTCAATACAAGCGGACGAAGACTGAGGCAAAACCGACAACTATGTGGTCGCATAGTGCAATGGACTATGCGGTTGCATACATCGGTGTAGAGATTTCGCGGTAGCATTTTACTTGAACTATGCTACCCCATTTAAATACACTATGTGGTTGCATAGATCAAATATTTGGCAAAAACATTCCTTTTCGCGATTTTTCATATTTTGCTAGATTTTATTTTATTCCATATCTTTGTAATTTTGGACGAATAATGCACGGTTTTACTAGATTTTTTTTAAGGTTTTATAGCTGGTATAAATAAAGAAATTCTCTCTCATTGTATTCTTACATTAGAAGACATTATTATTATTCGATAAAATTCCGAGAGTTTTTGAGAGGCTATTGTGCTTTTCTTCGTCTTAATTAACAACTTGAACTTATCAAGAATTTACAATTCTTGTGGCATTCAACCAATCGAGTACAAATCTCTTAACGTGTAATCAAGGGATCCTTCAAGCACCGATCTTAATGGGTTTTTTGGTTCACTTATTTCTATGGTTCAACTCTAAACCTTTAATTAGGTTTTTCTGAGTTCCATAACAAGCTCGTTGTGGGTTTCATAGTCAATGCTGCTACATGGTTCACAACACAATGGGTCGTCACCATCGAGGCTATCCCCTACGTCTCGCCGATGGACACCCTCCAGCATTGGGACCTTTCCATCCATAGTTGCAAAAATGATTCAAGTATAACATTCGATGGCTTTGATGAATCATCATACCCTATAAGATTATCTCTTCCAGTGCCTCTGTCAACCCCTCTGTCTTAAGCATCGCCAGTCTCTCTGGTACTCACATCGCCTGTCTCTCTGCATCCCCTCGTCGGCCTACTACATTACCTTGTAGTGCTATGACCTCATTACTAAGGCCTCCCAAATCAGCTCATAATGTTCTAATGTCATTTCATAACTGAATGAAAGTGGGAGAATAACGCAATGGATTTTGTGGTAGGATTTCTAAGGTCAGCAAGAGGACACAATGCTATATGGGTAATAGCGAATCGTCTAACAAAGTCAGCTCATTTTCTTCTGGCAAAAATGACATTCAGTCTAGATTAGCTAGCGTAGTTGTAAATTAGAGAGACTGTAAGATTGCATGGTGTCCCCGTATCTATTGTGTCTGATAGAGATTCGAGATTTATGTCAAAGTTTCGGAAGAGCTTACAAGGAGCTATAGGAACGAAATTGCATTTTTGTACGGCATATCACCATCAATCTGATGGTCAGTCTGAAAGGACCATTCAAACTTTGAAAGGTATGCTAAGGGCCTGTGTTCTAGATCTAGAAAGCAGTTGGGAATCGTATCCACCTTCGGTGGAATTACATATAATAATAGTTTTCAGGCAATTATTGGAATGGCACCGTATGAAGCTCTATATGGTAGAAGATGCAAATCACTTGGTCATTAGGACAAAATCAGAGAAAAGAGAATTTTGGGACCAGATAACATTGAAAAGACAGTGAAAACCATTGATAAGATCGGTACCAGGATAAAGGTAGCACAACATAGACAAAAGAACTATGCAGATACCAGAAGAAAAGACTTCGAATTTGAGATTGGAGAGAAAGTTTTTTTAGAAGTAGCACCAATAAAGGGTGTACTTAGGTTCAGCAAGAAAGTCAAACTACGACCTTGTTATATCGGACCTTTTGAAGTACTTGATAGGGTCAAAAATATGGCTTTTTGATTAGCTTTGCCGCCTGAACTATCAGCAGTTCACAACGTGTTTCATCTATCAATGATTAGGAAGTATATGCATGATCCTGATCACGTGATCAGTTATAAATCCCTAGAAGTATAGAAAGATTTATCTTATGAGGAATTATTGATTAAAGTACTGGATCAAAAGGTATATAAATTACAGAACAAGGAGATTCAACTGATTAAAGTTAAATGGAATAATCATGGAGTAGAAGAAGCTATTTGGAAAAGAGAAGAAGAAGTTAAAGACAAATATCAGACACTCTTTGCCAAACCATATGGTAAATTTCGAGGATGGAATTTTGTTTAAGGTGCAAGGGTTGTAGAAGCCCCAAAAAAAATGAAATTAGGCTCATATTTTTAGGTGATGATCTAGTACCATGAGTCTAGCCCATAGACAAACCTTATGCTCGGCCCACATAAGCAATGAAAGCCCAATACTAGTCCAATGTGTCTTAAATAAATTTATTTACAATTTTATGGTGGTTCAACATGCAACACAAGTCTGACCACCATACATATTTTTAAAAAAATATATTTGAAAAAGTTATGATGGATTCAATGTCTCCCGCGGTTTGTACCCGACAATTAAAATTTATATTTTGTATAGTAAAATTTCCAAGACATTTAACAACAAATTTAAATTCATGAAATGAAACGGCAAACTATCTTCAATTCTTTTAATTGGTTAATGATATTTAAGACAGGAAACAGGTATATAAAAGAAAGAAATTAAACCTAAACAATTCTTCAATCATTTTCTTAAATGTTCAATGAAGTGCTGCCCTTTCTAGGCTTTTCTCCATTTCCTTCAAGTTAATTATATTCTTGGAATGAAACATACCATTTAAATTCTAAACACTCACATACGTATCACAGGTTTCAATGTACCAAAATAATGTTGAAATGAAACTTACAATTCACCAAATAAACTATTGTAAATTGTCTTTAGTTGGGAGGCATGAATGCTTCCGTTTCTATTCATTTTCAAATTTAAGGCAGGGAATTTAACCTAAACTCTTTAAAATGCTTTTAAATTTCTTCAATTTATTTGCTGCCCATGTTTTTCTAGCATTTAGGATTTATTTTTCATTCCTTCAAGTTATTCATAATAAACTTTGTACAAGAAAAGGTTTCAAAAGTCAAGAAAGAAAAATATAAGAGAGGAGCAAATTTCTTAAGCTTCGGGTGCCATCGAGAAACAACTTCCACCGACCAATTCGTTTCAATAAGGTAAGTAGAGGTGCAAGTGTTTATTTCCTTTTCAAATTATGATTTTTCGATAAATGTTTGAATTAATTGGTACCTTACAACAGTTTGAATGATCTTTCTCTAGCTCTACATGTTATGATAATGCTACAGTAATTGGAATTTGCTGAAAAACCATTTACGTGCAATGATATGAATCTATAATTCGAAATTACTAATTCGATAACGAAATGCACCGATGATATCTATTGAGTTTCAAACTCATGGGTTAATTCTCTTCTTACAGGTTAAATGGATTTTCTTAAGGCATGGATGATGGTAGAGGATGATACAACATGCTATGGGGGAAGTCAGTGATTTGAAAATTTTAATTCGATCATGAAATGTTTACATTTGTTTTTTTTAATATGAATTTCTATGGATGTCATATGTGGAACTATTCTAAGAATATTTCTTCATTAATAAGTAATGTTTAAAAGTATATATGTGTTATAGAAGTTAATTTACAAATCACCGTTTACAAAAAGAAAAAAAAAAGTGTTAGCAAATTAGAGTATTGTTGTCTCTTTAAAAATTTCAGTTTCTGTCTTGACTTTGAAAAATTCATAGCTAACTCGTTACTTGAAATTTTTAGACAAAGCCAATGACCCTGGATAGCCACATAGGTTAGCTATTGAATGAATTTGGAGTCATGTCAATCCGACGTCGGTAGAATTTTATATGTCACTTTAAGTAAACTGCACATGGGTAGTGTTACTGTTTTTCAGCTTCTGCCCTTGGTTTCAAAAATTCATAACTCACTTGTTACTTGAATTTTTTGGACAAAACCAATTGGGATTGATAGCATCAGGCGTTAGCTACTGAATAAAGTTGAAATTATGTCGATTTGATGTGTGTAGAATTTTATATGGCACTTTTAAGTAAGCTTCGCTGGGTTACTCCAACCCGAATCGCTGCGGGGTTTTGAAAAATATTTTAATACCCTTATATGCTGCCGACGGAAGATGATTTTCGGATATGTCATATTATAAGGAGTTTTCTACTTTACACTAAAATATCACAAAGTTTCAAGGTCGATAGCCATGCAAACAAATTTATTTTGACAATTATCATTTGAGATAAAAACTAAAACAGCAACATTATTTTTAAAGTTTTGCCAAAAATTTCACGTCAACAGTGGTTACTTGCATGGAAACCATTCTAAAAACAATTTTAAAATTTTTTCTTTTAGTATTGAATTATTTTGTTTTAGAAAAAAAAAACTTGAATTAAATTCTTAAATTAAATCTTTATACTTTTGGCCAAAAGTATATCAATTATTAAGTTTACGGCTAAAGTACATTTAATCGTCATGTTTTGGTCCCTATGGGTTGGGCCATTACATATAGTGTCTCCTCATAACATCTCTGCCCCATGGATAGCCGTTGAGGACATCAAATTTTCAACAACTTCTAAATGAAAGATGTCAACCACTGTCTTTTTGTGTTGACATCTCAGTACACTTTCAAGGATAAGCACCAAATCTAGCTTCAATTTGTCTAACTTGTGGCCGTATTCTTGAATGCATCCTCTAACTGTGGTAGAAATACAATCGTTTGTATTGGAAAATATTCTTTCAGCAGCCTTCTGTTTCTTGAAATATGGGTCATTGCTGTTTCGTTGCTCTTATACAGTCGGTGATGAGGACGAACTCAAATAAAGAGAATCTAGCTACCTGGTCGTGCCCAAGATTAAAGTAGAGTGAATCATCGATGATAGGCTTAAACAGTGGACATAGTAATCATCAAAGAGCTACCTTGAAAAATGTCTCTCAAAGGATAGAGGGCCACAAGCAGGAATAGCGTGACATATCTACATGCTCATGATCGAACAACTCTAATATTGTCATAAAGCTATCAAAATTATAGTTCGAATCTCGAGAAGATGTCTCATCCTGACGTCGAGCTGGTAATCCATACTACAGAATTTTAAATGTTAGAACCTTGTACAAGAGATAACGCTAAATCATATTATCAAAAAATTAAACTAAATAATTTGTTTATTACTATACGCAAGAATAAACGGATAATGAAATAAAAGAAATGAAAGAAAACAAAAATTAAACAAAAAGAATTAGCAACAAAAAAAATATATTAAACGTAGAAAATGAAAATAAAACGAGGGAAAAAATTTATGATTTTTGAAAATATGAAAACAATAATTATCCTTTAGCAACCGAATATAAATTTTCATCTATTTCATTTCGACACGTTTTGTTAATTTGAGATACCAAAGGACAAATTTAAAAATAAGTTTTTTGTGTCAAAATTATAGCTTTCAGTCAAATAATCAAGTATGGATATTGGGCTTGTTTCGAAACTCATATTAAATGACGAATTTTGTACTCGAGAAAAAGTTATTTTGGATAAGTTAGGCCTAAGTTATGGTAGTTCAAAGGGAGTCCTATTTTAATTAAAGTTACTAAATCAATTAAATCATTTTGGCAATCACTAGATAAGTTGAATTTGATAATTTTCAGCCAATTTACCCTTTTTTTTCACGTTTGACTAGGGAACCAGTATTAATATATTCAAATGAAAAGTAAAATTTTGTTATTGGAATTCAATCTTTATACAATTGCAGCCAATTAGTTTCTTATGATAAATATCAGTTTTTTCCCGGGAACCATTTGACTTAATCCCAAATTCTAGTTCACGTGTAGATTTCAACAAAATTAAGATGCTATTTTATAGTAATTAAAGCTAATTTATGTTGATTGGGTTGTTAGGGAATAATAAGAGTCCTAATCCAATTGGATATCAAATTCAAATTAATGGGACTTTAGTCCCCATTTGTAATAGAAGACTGAGCATACTACAGCTTCTTGTTCATGCCATTTTAACAAGAACTCATCAACAATTATGTTCTACCACGTTCTTCCCTTTGAAACACCACAACCATATCATCAACCTGAAACGTTTGCCTACCCATATCAGCAGCAACCTTATACTTTGCATTGGAGCTTTCAACTTTTTCTTCTCCCATTGAATCACCTCCATATGTTGTTCAGCTTGTTGTTTAGTTGTTGCACTTTTTGTCATAGTTGTTTCACCAAACTTCTTTACATTCAAGGAAAACTTATTGACTAATTTGTAGTAGTCATAAAAGTTTTCCCTTCCACTTTAAAGGTTTTCTAGCACGTCCCGTCTTTTTATCCTTCCATTTTAACATGTAGGTGTTCTCTATATCCCGCTATGTACGGCATCCAAATAAAACTGTCACAATTCGCCCAATAGAACATAACACGCTTCAATCTCAACAATGACGCAAATAATTTTCGATTTGTAAAAGTCCTCTTGAACAAAGGTAACCCAGAAATTCGATTTTACTTGAATAGACATACCCTTCTTAATCCAACCAATGTGATAAGAAGTTTGACGTTGTTTAGATGCCACCTTTAGATGATGATCTACTAGCTTCTTTAGGATCACATTATCACAACTAAACTATTTATGATCAGACTACAAAAAAATCATTGACTCGACACTTGGCTTGAAAGATCTTCCTACAGTGAGTCAACTATTCCTGCTTTGGCGAGCATAAGATTTTTTGCACTAAATACATAAAATCTCCTTGTTCTTTCTCACACAACTCATCGAATTATTCTTCCTTTGGTGTAGGATGATGAATAATAATAACAATTAATCTTATTCATAATACACAAAGAAGTGTTGCTCAAATTTTGTTCGAACGGACGTAGAAATATTGGAATCTACCAATTAACGAAATAAATTATGATATTATTAATCAAAACATTTGTAGGTTATTCAATCCCTTTAACACAAATTTAAAGAATTAAAACGAACTCCAATCAATGCAAAACTCTAATTCTGTAGATAAATCTAAATAAAATTAAAAAACTATTAAAATGACAAAAATATTCTTAAATTCAGTCCAAACAGAAAACTGCTAAAATGGAGTCCTAAATATTGCATACCATCCACGTGTATGCTCTTTGTAGTGTATGCTATCCACGTATATGCTTTTTGTTTGATGCCATCCACAATTGCTAAAATGATTCACCATTTGACTCGTTCAAATTTTGCATGCCATCTACGTGTATGCTCTTCGTAGTGTCCACTGCCACGCGTAAAATCCATATATCTCCAATCCAATGTATAAGGATACGACCATTGCAATTGAAAGTTAACCGAGAAAAGCAGAAGAAAAATGGCGTCAAATCTGAATCCAAGGTATGCATACACAGTGGTTTATGTTAGAGATGTAGCCAAATCTGTTGCATTTTACACCAAGGCATTTGGTTATCAAGTGCGCCGCTTAGATCACTCTAACAGGTAAATGACATTGAAATATTATTGCAATCAATGACACTGAAATCACGTGATTATTGTTATGTTAGAATCTCGAAATCTTAGTACATGTTTAGGAACGCTTGTCAAGTTTTATGAACTGTCAGATGTCATTTTCATCTACACATTTTCTATGATTCACGATTTATAATCTAGTACTATCCTTTTATCATAATTACATGCAAATGAGTCCAGCATCGTAGAAGTAGATTGGTGTCAAATAGACACGGCCACGAGGATGATCGTGGGGGGTTCCGTGTGATTTGAGCAAATTTTACCCATCTTTTGTCTAATTGAAATTAGATTTTGTAAATTTTCATAAAAATTGATGAAATGAATGGTTGAGAAGTTATACATCTAATGAAATGGGTTATTTATTGATTTTAACTTAAAATTCATATCAAATTAATATTTTTATCAACCTTTTAATCTAAATCAAGCAGGGTATTAAATTCTTTGACAAACAATAAAAAAGAATACTGAGGACCGATCAAAAAAAAAAAAAAAAAAAAAAAAACTGGGGAAAAAAAGGTAAAAAAAAAAAAAAAGAATACTGAGGATATCAATGGCCATGATTGAATTGGAAGGTGTTTTCTTCTCTTTTTCTAATTTCATGTGGAATAATGCTACTTGGCCTCACTGAGGTTATATAACACTAATACAGTTGTTAAATGATATCTCAAATGAAAGGTGGAATTATCATTCAACTATTATTTAATCCACATAGATTGGGGTTATGGCTAAATAGCATTACTCTTTCGTGGATCTCTCTCGATATCACTATCGATCTCAATTGGTCTTTTGATGGCATGGAACTTTTACTTAAAATTTACCTCTTAACAACATC